AAAGGAAAGCAAATATAGCCAATGCTCTTTTGGGGCTGTGAACATTCCTAATGACCAGATTAGGTGCTGGTTGGTGCTGCTAGGGTTGAACTATTGATGATGGAAAATGATTGGGCTTGTCTTTCATACTGATAGTTTGCTGGAGGCAAGAGTAGTTGAATTTCTGGATGATGACTATTTAGAATTTTGGATGCCAGACAGAAGGCTTATAGAGGGTTGATAATGGTTAAAACTGATTTTTTTTTTTTTTGGTTGTTGTTGCAGATATAACCAAAGAAAGGAAAGAGAATTAGAAGAGAAGGGGGGAAGAGTCTAGGCATCGCACCATAAAATTTGAAAAGAAAAAAAAAATGGCACAAAATGTTGGAAATGTCTATAGAACTTGTTCTCTAAAGAATTGCAAGTTAATTCAATTAGTAAATCTTAACCATAGACTATTATTTAATAACTTAAAAGACTCTTTCCATTAAAACCCATATTAACCTATAAACTTTTCCTTTCTTCCTCCCCACCCATAAATAAGTAAAGGCACACACCCACACCCCAAACAGAACATAAACCCTACACACCTCCCTTTTGAGATGGCAAGAGACACACTCATGTTAATAGCTTGTGGTCATGAACAAAAGATGCATTATGACAATTTGACCCAAATCACGACCCATGGGCAACTACTGCTCCTGAATCCTAAAATATTAAAAGCATATATACACAACTGAACAGAAGCTTGTTAAATTAAAAAAGAAAATAAAATATGACTTAGGGTGACTCAAAGTTAATAACGCAAAGTCATCAATGGACCCAGCTTCTAATGCAAACAATTTTCAATATCCCCTCTTCTTCAGATTTGTTCTTCAACATCTTATTATGAACTGCATGAAAAACATGGCTTGTCCAACACTAAACATGGGGTTCTTGCATGGATGGGCTCTACACAAATAAATTGGAATAACATTCAAGATTCAGTTTAATAGGAAACTATAATAGTAGACATTACCTTGAGCTGATTTGTAGACAAAAAAGCACGAATTCCATGCAACGGTGCTCCAATTGGAAACCTAAAATCCAGTTCTGTAGCAGGAAACTAAGTCATATATGCAACACCAAAACCAATGATTAATGTAATTAGGGCTCTACACAAATAAATTGGAATAACATTCAAGATTCAGTTTAATAGGAAACTATAATAGTAGACATTACCTTGAGCTTATTTGTAGACAAAAAAGCACGAATTCCATGTAACGGAGCTCCAATTGGAAACCTAAAATCCAGTTCTGCAGCAGGAAACTAAGTTATATATGCAACACCAAAACCAATGATTAATGTAATTAATATACCACAAGTATGGCTATGGCCAAAACAAAAGGTTTCAAGTCAGTCTTTCAAGTAAGAATTACATCATACCACCAATTTCGCCCCCTTTGTTTACAAAAGTATGAGTATGATCCTTCACAAGCAGATTTTTATCAGCACCAACCTAGGTCAAAGTAGAGATCCAAGAAAAACAATCAGAGACCATTGTCTTGAGAAGATTATGTAACTAAACTACAATTTTATATAGTTAATTCTCAGAAAACAAAAGGGTTTTTTCTTAAAAAATTCATGGAGCCAGCTTAGTGCAAATGCATCGACAGTTCTCAACCCACAAATCAACTACAATAAAGTAACTTAAACATCCTACATTTCAAACATGCATAGGGAAGTTTGAGATTAATCACATAGAAAAAAGCAAAATCACCTAGTTACCACCATTATTATACGAAACGCACTGACACAACTAATGGTGTATGGGTTGATATAATCCACATGTAGGGTCATAAGGGACTTTTGTCATAAATTGGAAATAAATAAGGGGTCCAAGTTTTGCCCACCCCGGTCAATTAGCAGAGTTAAGGAACTAACAAGTTAAGTACATGCCTGAGTTTATTCTTTCTGAGCAGTCTTGCCAATAACAGATACACTAAACTGCATACAAAAGGGTCTATCTAAAAGCTATGAAGTCCAAACTCAAGCCATGAGAGGAACTAACCAAATACAGAACCATATTCTTCCATTCTATATTCAAAAGCAAGCTCATAATTGTGTAGGCACATTGGGAGTTCATTGAAGGCATTAGTAGGCCATGAATATGTATGAGCAATACATCATTGGCACAAGTACATCAGTATAGAAGCTTCTTGGCATCCTAATAGATTTCAGCGATAATTCACCCATCATTTCAATATCTTATGATCTGTAAAGCAACTACAACAATGAATATTTCTTACCAACAGATAAGATTGAGCTCCTTGCTCATTATCATAAGCAGATGTCATACAACAATCAAAAGCACAAAAACCCGAAACATTTTGTACCATAGCTAAATTATTAGGACACAGATATTTGATCCTACAAGCATCCTAAAAGGCACTGTTATATCAGTTATTACCATAAAAGATCAATGGATCAAATATTCTAGAATATGGATGGTCCTTGTTTCATATATCATGCTTTATGATCATGAAAAATATTCTTTATTTGCAGCTTAAAAGCTATGGGCCATAAAGAATACAAGAAATGAAATTAACATTAAAATCTAAAATATCAATAAATAACTTCATGAAAACAAGCATGTGGTCTTCACCTTTTTCATCAATCGAAAAAGATTATTGTAACAACCAAAGAAAACATGAAGTCCCATTTCCTAACAAATGCTGCACCTCATTTGTCCTACTCTGCAGCCGGTTCGACAAATTTGTGACCGCCGTCATGCTTTCCACACATGCCTTCAAAGTATACTGATTGGCCTCCACATCCGACTGCACTGCCATTCTTTGCTCCACAGACCGCATCGGAAAGTTCAACGGAGTAAACTCCGGGGCGCTTGGTTGAGGTTCCAGTGCCACCGCACCAGTTGTCTCTCTTGTTGACTCGTTGAGGTCGGGAAAGAGAGTGAGCAGCCCCCGGGACGACGAAGCCATTTTCTGGGCAACAGAGTGTTACAGAATATCTCTCGCAACAGAGTGTTACAGACTCTCTCTCTCAGCACAACGAAGAGTTTTTTTAGAGGATTTTCAGAAGTTTTTTGTCTGCCTCAGCCTCAGCATCGACCTTGGTTAAATAGCGAGGCAGCCACGCGTATCGCGCGCCACTTGACGCCAGACGACAAACGGGCGCGCCAGCCAAGGCACTCACGTGCCTCGCCATCATGTCCGACACATCTTTTTATGATTTGGGCTCGCCTTTTGATGGCACGCCTTTTTATGGATTGGGCACGCCTTTTGATGGCACGCCTTTTGATAAATTGGGCACACCTTTTGAGGGTGCGACTTTTTAAGGGTCCGACAAGACTCTGTAAACTGTCCCGACATTGATTCCGGTTAGTTTCTACAAGGGTCCAGCAAGACTCCGTAAACTGTCACCACAACTGTCACAACATTGTCTGCTACAACGGTCCTACATGACCCCGTAAACTGTCTTCTACAACGGTCTGACACGACCACACAGTGTCTGCTACAACGGTCCGACATGACCCCGTAAACTGTCTGACACGACCATACCGTGTCTCCTATCCTGTTTTGTTTTTATTTATCAGTTTACTTTCATGTTTTGTTACTCTCTCCAAACTCAAGTTGGTTTGTGTCTAACCTCCTTGAGTTTGAGGGGGGCTGTTAAACCTACTCCACTAAACCTAACCCACTACACCACTACCACCTCCACTTCACCTACTCCTCACCTACTACACTCACCCTCTCCTATATAATGAGCCACTCACCATTTGTAATATAGATAACAACATATATCAATCAATAATACAATTCTCTTTATACATTAAATTTCAACACCACACAAGTTTGGTTCTGGCCAAAACAAAAGGTTTCAAATCAGTCTCATCATACCACCAATTTCACCCCCTTTGTTTACAAAAGTATGAGTATGATCCTTCACAAGCAGATTTTTATCAGCACCAACCTAGGTCAAAGTAGAGATCCAAGAAAAACAATCAGAGACCATTGTCTTGAGAAGATTATGTAACTAAACTACAATTTCATATAGTTAATTCTCAGAAAGCAAAAGGGTTTTTTCTAAAGAAAATTCATGGAGCCGGCTTAGTGCAAATGCATCGACAGTTCTCAATCCACAAATCAACTACAATGAAATAACTTAAACATCCTACATTTCAAATATGCATAGGGAAGTTTGAGATTAATCACATAGAAAAAAGCAAAATCACCTAGTTACCACCATTATTATATGAAATCGCACCGACACAACTAATGGTGTATAGCTTGATATAATCCACATATAGGGTCATAAAAGCCTTTTATCATATATTGGAAATAAATAAGGGGTCCAAGTTTTGCACACCCAGGTCAATTAGCAGAGTTAAGGAACTAACAAAAGTACATGCCTGAGTTTATTCTGAGCAGTCCTGCCAATAACAGATACACTAAACTGCATACAAAAGGGTCTATCTAAAAGCTATGTAGTCCAAACTCAAGCTATGAGACGAACTAACCAAATACAGAGCCATATTCTTCCATTCTATATTCAAAAGTGAGCTCATAATTGTGTAGGCACATTGGGAGTGCATTGAAGGCATTACTAGGTCATGAAGATGTATGAGCAATACATCATTGGCACAATTACATCAGTATAGAATTCTTGGCATCCTAAGCTAATTAATCCTCTAGATTTCAGTGTTAATTCACCCATCATTTCAATATCTTATGATATGTAAAGCAACTACAACAACGAATATTTCTTACCAACAGATAAGATTTAGTTCCTTGCTCATTATCATAAACAGATGTCATACAACAATCAAAAGCACAAAAAACCGAAACATTTTGTACCATAGCTAAATTATTAGGACATAGATATTTGATCCTACAAGCGTCCTAAAAGGCACTGTTATATCAGTTATTACCATAAAAGATCAATGGATCAAATATTCTAGAATATGGATGGTCCTTGTTTCACATATCATGCTTTATGATCATGAAAAATATTCTTTATTTGCAGCTTAAAAGCTATGGGGCATAAAGAATACAAGAAATGAAATTAACATTAAAATCTAAAATACCAATAAATAACTTTGTGAAAACAAGCATGTGGTCTTCACCTTTTTCATCAATCGAAAAAGATTATTGTAACAACCAAAGAAAACATGAAGTCCCATTTCAATGTGATTTCCACGTTTATCAACAAAAGAACCGACTTTTCCGCCAATGAAAGATCTTGATTCGTATATGTCCACCTGAAAAGTCAACAACGAATTTAAGTAAAATCTAGCCATTATCAGAAATTAAAAAAAAAACAACCCAAACAAAATGAACTTCGCAGAAAACCAAAGAGGAAGTTCTTCTAATTTGATGGAATGTATTTATGTTTCATTATATCAAAATAGGAAGAAATCAATTTTCATTTCTATTGGTCGAACAAAAAAGTCTTAATATCTATAAAAAAGCTCTAATTTCAAACAAATTGGAAGTTTTAGATTTTTGAATTTTAGTCTAAAATTGAAAAGCCTAAATGTGAAAATATTAAAAGATATAAATTCACTTTGTTTTTATTTTACTCATTGGCCCCCAAATTATTTCCTTCATACTTAAGACAAGACCAATAACTTAGGGTGTGTTTGGTTTGTGTTTGTAGAGTAGTTTTTGAGATAAAAAGTACGAAAACTTGTTTGGTTTGCCTTTTTTCAGAAATGGTTTTGGAAAATTGTTTTGGGGAGAAAGTTTTTAAAAAAGTGATTGATTTGATGTGTATGAGAGAGAGTGACTTTGGAAAGTAGGTAACCAAACAAAATTTTAAGATTTTTTTTAAAAAAATTTGCCTGGTTTGATTACTCTTGAAAATTTATTTGTGGAGAATTTTTCCCAAAATTTTTCTGAAAAACAAAACCAAACAAGCTCTTAATGTTTGCTTAAGCAATAGACACATGTAGTGTATAAAGTGTGCTAGAAAGATTAAAAAATATTAAGACACATTTGGATACGTGTCTGAAACATGTTGGTGTTTGACATGGACAAACAAAGAATGAAGAAAAAAAGAAATACAAGTATGGTCAAGGTAA